GCCACACGCGAAATTCGACCATTTCCACGACAGAATCAGAAAGAAGTTTCTTCAGTTCACATGATAATGATTTCACTCCAGGACAATCGTTACATTCATCCAGATGACAGGCCGGGGTTGGATTTGTACACATCAATTTTGCTGGACAATCTTCGTAATCTCTGAGTGGACAGGGGGAATCTTGAGTTAGAGTCGCAATATTAATTGCCTCTAGCATCAATTAGCAATTTTGATGATACGTACAAACACATACCACGTGAGTGCAATTTGCTCCCGCTACTACACATTGTTTAGGTCTCAGCTCGGCAAACTTACTGAAACCGACCTTAGCATCTTCATTCGCATGTTTGTACTTCCGATGAAGGACTTTTAGATTTTCGAGTATCATTCGCTTTTGCTCTACTTTCTTCTCTCCATTGATCGTGACGGATATTTTATCTTTCATTCCTGGCATGACGCGACTGTGTTCTAGGTAAAAATTGTGTACCTTCTCGACGGTTGTGCTGGGTAGTGAATGACCTGCTTTCGCAATTGGTGAAGCAAACACTCCTTCAATTTTTCTCCATCTTTTCACTCTTGACGCCATGTATCTGGTAGTTCCAAATTCAGAAGCAATTTTCCGCGCACTCCACGACTGTGGATGAACCGTCAAGATTTGCAGGCGCTCACGGTAGTTTTTCAGATCTTTGAATTTCTGCTTCAAACCATCCAACATTTCTTCTAATTCTATTTCTCTCGCAGATCGATACTGCTTAGATGAAGATGGATCAATGTCACTTTGGTCATCTTCCGAATCATAATCCATGGAAGAACTGTCGAATTCAGCTTCATCGTCTGGTTCGTCGTCGATTGATATGCCGGAATCGTCAAGATGGAAAGATCGACCTGATTTCAGAGAACTGTTCATCACATTCAGACTTGGGTCACATGTTTCGGCTTGGAGTATTGATATATCGAGTGGAGTTTCCGAACGCTGAAGATGTGTAGCATTACGTTTAACCGTGGGGACAGATGGAGGAATGACATAAGTTGGAGCTCTCATTCGGCATTGACCACAGATTTTCGCAGACAATGGTAAAAAAGGAAATTTCTCGTGTAGTGTCAAGGAAATCAGATGTAAATTATAACCGAGGTGTCCCTTCTTACCAGGAGTCCGCATTGGATTCGCACATCTATCACTCCGCGGCATTCTATGAAATCTGAAGATCTCAATTCCGAGAATAAAGGTCATTTCTATATAATCAACATGAAAATTCCGGACCTCGTTGCAAGAATAAAATAAGATAGGAGCTCGGTAATCCATCCACACAGAATCGTATGGTGATAGAAAATCAATCGAGAAATTGAGGTTTTTTTCTAGAATTAAAGCCTTGGAACCGACTGATGATGATAAATCAATTAATTGATTCCGTTTGTTTTCTCCTCTTATTCATTTGATCATAATTTAGCAAACTTCCGATGATGATAATGTTCAATTCAACTATCTACCCTTCCAGTAAAAATTGCGACGTAAATTTTTTTTTTCGACGCACTCTTTCTCCGTTACATGATGGTGTAGTCTTATGTCATCATTTATGAACGAAGAATAATGGTTGACAGACTCATTTCTTTAAAAAAAAACCGATGGATCTCCCCTAAAAACTGAAAAACCGAAAAATTTCAAAAAAAAAATGTTTGCGGCTCATTGCATTGCTCTTCCATTATGGCGTATTTTTTTATATTATATAAGGACATCCTCTATCATAAAAAAAATATTTCGATCGAATATTCAGCGGCCCTAGAGTGAAAAAAAAATGAAAACGCGAAAAATTCTCGAAAAACCGATTTAGGAGCTTCTTGCTGGCTCTGAAGTATTTTTTACATTGAAGTACGAGAAAAAATGAAAATTTTCTTTTTTTATTTATCAAAATCGGATGCCCCATTCAGAAGTAATGATTTTTTGAAAATTTCAAGTTTCATAATGATTATCTCAGAAACAAAAAGTGGCAGGGCAATGAAATTTTGCATGATCACTGTCTATATGTAGCAGTTCAAAATGCACCTACTCAATGACTTTTCCCAGAAAAAAAAAATTCGGTGTGGCTGAGTTGACATGGAATGTCCCATATGTGTAGTACTGCATGCCAGCCGTCTTTGTTTTGAAGCGTTTCTTCTTATCTGTAATCGTTTATGTGATATGATAGTATAAACAATGAAATTATATATAACAATACCAATAACTGTAATATTTGTGTTTTACAACTTTGGATTAGTCTTAATCAACAGATATTTTTGTACATTTCATTTTCGGGATTACACCGCGGTAGGCGTATGCTCTATCCAGACGTATTTTTCTCTGCTGTCAGGTCTTAACGATAAAAGTATGGTCAGTCTAATAAAAGAAAGCACAAGCAAAACACTCTCGTGCTCAGCCAGAGTTTTGTTGTGATTATCATCGTTATCACACGATTATATCGTGTATATTGTGAAAATTCAAATATAGTTAGGACGAGGACGGAAAAGTATTTTTGAGAGACATTTAGATAATTATTACACGCAGAAATGAGAGTCAATCCTATGAACGTTATTCAATTACTGCTGACAACACTTTAAGCGATGAATATTCCGGAATCACCTATAAATAATGAAGAAATCAAATTGAAAAATAGCATTGAGGAAGTGTTATCACATGCAATGAATGAGGATTCTGGCGTCGGAGTGACGGTTGAAGATTCGTTAAACTTTGAGGAACCTTAGAAAGACTGGGACATGGAGTTCGTCGAAGACAAAGAATACGCGTATAACCTTCATGAACCGCCAATTAACCCTGATACCTGTACTCAAGATGAGGAGAATTTATCTTACGATTACAAATCTAGAGGTGTCAAGCAGAAATTTCGAAAGTTAACTTCAATATGGCAGTTGAGACGCTGGGCACATAACATTAATAAGGGGGGAGGCTTTAAAGATAAACTTGATCGGATTTGTACATACACACTACAAAATTTCAAATCTGCTATCCACTCTGGAATGATCGTACCCGATTGTAACATACGATGATGGGCATTACAAGCCCAAAAAATATAGGTAGTGAGGATTTTCGCTTTAAAGCATCCAACAAGTGGATACGAGCATTTCAAAAAGCACATCGTATTGTCTCGAGGAATATCAATAAATTTGTTAGATCGAAGCAATCGAAGACCGTCAAGTTCTAGAGGAAAAATCGGAACAGTTTGTTCAGGATGTGAAACAACGGATTGCAATGTACGGTTTATGAAATATATATAATTCTGATCAATGCGGATTTCAGTTTGAAATGCATTCAGGCAGAACTTTGGCTGAAGAAGGTGAAAAACAAGTACAATGTATCGTGCAATCCTTAACATCGACGACACATAGTTATACTATTAGGTGTGCGAATATGACTCCGCCTTTTCCCAACAGATGTCGTTTTTAGTATTGCTTCCGTGCACTAATAAATGGCAACACTTGTATTCGATAGTACTTTATGTCAGCTGTCAAACGCACTATGTGACATTTTATTAAAGTGTAAGCAGCAAGTGTTTTTACCTCCGTGACAATATCGGTTTTCGTTTGAAGTAAAGATCATGTGCGGGAAGTGTTATTACACTATTATATTGCAAAGAAAAGTGCAGCGGAAAGTCATCGTTTGCTTGTGGAGATTTACGGTGAGCACGCTCCATCTAATACAACTTGCAAAGAATGGTTTCGACGATTTCAAAATAATGATTTTGGCACTAAGGACAGAGAACATGGAAAACCACTGAAAAAAATTTGAAGATGCTGAATTGGAGGCATTATTGGCAGAGGATTCTTGCCAAACTCAATCAGAGTTGGCTGCAGCATTAAATGCTGAACGATCAACTGTTGCAAAACGTTTAAACGCAATGGGAATGGTTCAACAAGTTGGTAACTGGTTTCATATGAATTGAAAGAAAGAGATATGGAAGGTCGAAAAACAATTTCTGAAATGCTACTTCAAAGACAGCAAAGAAAAGAATTTTTGCATCCAATAGTAACAGGAGATGAAAAATGGATATATTATGAGAATGCTAAACGCCGAAAGACTTATGTGAAGCCAGGTGAACCCGGCCCATCCCAGCCAAAGAGAAATATTCATAGTGCCAAGTTTATGCTCTGCATTTGGTGGGATCAGAGAGGTGTTGTATATTATGAGTTGCTCGAACCCTCTCAAACTATTAATGGAGAAGTTTACCGACGACAATTAATGCGTTTGAAGCGAGCCATAGAAGAAACACGACCAGAATGGGTGAATAGGCACAGTAAATTAATTCTTCAACATGACAATGCCAAACCTCATACCGCCCAAGTTGTGAAAAGATATTTAGATGGACAGGACTTGGAAGTGCTACTCTACCCGCCATATTCGCCAGACATAGCTCCTTCGGATTACCACTTATTCCGAACACTAAAGTCAGATCTTACGGGAGAACGGTTCACTTCATACGAAAGTATCAAAATTTGGCTTGATAATTGGATTAGCTCAAAAGACCAGGATTTCTTCAGGCAAGGAATACGTAAATTACCTGAAAGATGGGCGAAGGTTGTAGCTGCAGATGGAGCATACTTTCAATAAACTTTTCTTTAATTTTCTAAACAAGCAAATGTGTTTTATTTTAACAAAAAAGGGCGGAGTCATATTCACACACCCAATATTCAACCAACTATATCAGCCGAAGGGAAACTCCTCTCTCCACTCTTTTTAGTTTTGAAAGAACCAAGCGGTCATTTCGTTCCCAGAGTAGAGGAAAAACTGTTTCATCCGGATAATGTATACGTAGATGTATCCAAATCTGGGAAACTGACTTCAGGTATGAGACTGTGTTGATTCGTCTAATACTTCGTTTCTTATCTATCCGTAATGATGACGTCACTCCAACGATAACGTTCATTTGTTCTATTATTTTTTTCAGAACATTGCAAAACTTGGTTGCAATATGTTTTTGTCCCTAATGTTGGTGCGAAAAGTCTATTATTGGTGGATTCACGGATCGGACACTGTTCTCCAATCGTGGAAGCTACCAAAACACGCAATAAGAATGTGGAGGTAATGACTATACCTAAAGGGATAACTGGAAAACTCCAACCACTCGATGTTTTTGGATTTAGAGTTTGGAAAAACTTCATAAGATATTTCTCTGATCGTGTTATATTAATGGATTATGATTTATATTTACATTTAAAGAATAATGTCATCAAGTTGCAACCTCTAACTCATCATCAATTGTCATCACCACGATATATCAATCTGTTCAAATATGCTTGGTACAGAAGAGGTTACATAGAAACCAAACCAGATGAATTTGAAAATCCCGTCCATGTCGCATTTGGTGAATCTTGCAAGTCGCATTGCGAAATATCGGGATGTACGAATATTGCTATTATTCGTTGTTCTTGGTGCAAGAAGTCATTATGTTTCAAACACTTCTTCGACGACTATCATTATTGCAAACAATAGAATGAATAAATAAATGAGGAAAATTATAAGAAGACCTCAAAATATGATTTTCTGAGCGCCTTATGATAGGAAAAATAAGGAAACGTATGAATAGTGATGACGTAGTGGGGGGTGGAGTGAAGGAAGAATAGAAAAAAAGAAATGATAATGGAATTGTCAGATCATTATATTGCTAGGTATGTAAAAATATAACTAAAAGTGATCTTCTGAAAGAATATTCTTCAACATCCCTCTATCCCTTTTATGAATTTAGAAGAAGAGCTGTACTGGGCTGCACTATATTCATTCCTCCTCCAAAAGAACAGTAATCCGCAGAGGCTACTCCAGTTCTTCTTATAATTCTCACCTGAATCACCACGAGGAAGTATTTGTTGCAAAACATTTTTATATTTCAACTCTAATAGTTATTTTGTCATTCACTCTTTCTAAATAAGACCGATGAGATTCTCCACCACACACATTGGAAATTGTCTTCTTTCGAGAAGAAATCCAATATTCAACTGGTAATGTGTTGAGTTCAATTCGACGGTGGTTTACCCCCTACACCCATTCTTTCGAAAAAATGCAAAAACCCGTATTTCCCTACTTTTACTTGCTCGTTTGATAGCCATTCATACTATTGAAATACGAGCGTTATTCTTTTTTCACAAGATTTTTTTGGCTTTGAACCCCTATCATTTTTTTTAAATTGACCCTATTCAAATGCAACAAACGCCATTTTTCATAATTTTTCTTATAGCATTATCATTCATTTGATTTCGTTCTAAAATTTTAAATGGCAATATATGAAACAGTCAAATGGTCCTGAAAACCTATCAACTTCGGAGGTTGGTTTCACCCCCTAAACGTCTTTATCCGTAAAAAAAGACGTATACCTTAGATTTTGATGGGGCATAACATATTTCAAGCTCATCGAAATCGGTGAGGGACACTCGGGACGGTTTCCTGGTTAGGCGCTGAGGCGACTCCCTGGCGATACATGTCTCCCACAGTATCGCATGATAGTCGCTTGTGGTATAGATATCTGTTACTCCCCATGAGTAGTTTCCCCTTTGCAAGGTTGCTGCTAACGATGGTCTACAATTGAGCTCGCCGCTCCCCTCATGAAGGTCGGTTCATCTCCGCTGTTGAGCAGAACTACGTCTAACGATAACATGGCTTCCAGCACAGCTCGCCCCCTGATGTTCGTCTCCTTACTTCCCCAGTCGACTGCCCAGGTGTTGAAGTCCTCGGCTATTACCACAGGAAAGTGCTGCTTCACATCCTCAGTCAGTCTATCCAGGAAGTTTGTGCATTCCTCAGTGGAAAGTCTCAGTAGGGCGTAACAGCTGTAGAAATCAACTCCATCAACCTTAGCCTTCACAAAGGCGTTATGTATAGTATTATTAGTGGTGCTTTGGAAAGGCCGATTCCCGCAAGTCCAGATTATAGCCTTCTTGCTAGCGTCAGTAACCCAGGATTGAGCGTCCAGATAACGGTATGGCTCTGAGATGAGAAAGAGATCGAGTTTCAACTCCCGCGCCGTTTGCATGAGCAGGTCGTGCGCGGCCTCACAGTGGTTGGGATTGAGTTGGAAGACCTTTATCGTCGGTTCGGGCTTCGCATCGGGGCATCGGGAATTCTCCTTGCAGTCTGAAGTTTTGTGGCGGGTCGCTGAGTAGTTAATGCAGAGTTTGGACCGGTCCACTGCATTCATGTACTTCGTGACGAGATGTCCGTTGTGCCAGCACTTGAAGCACTTTATCGGTCTCTCCACTCTTCTGATACGGCAATTGACCCAGCCTATGCTGGTGTATGCTGCCTAGTCGGGTTACGCAAGGTCGCAATGTTCGGATGGAAAATGACGCTCATAGCTGGCTCTACCTCTTGATGCACTTAAATCCGCCGCGGTCCCTTCTGACCGCATGTTTTATTACAAAACATAAAAACTCCACTTTCGGGAATATTCGAGTCAAATATCCAGACTAAGGTTTTCGGCATCCTGGAGGGTTCGCGAGGTCGAGGTCACAACTTGCATGATGATCACTATCACACACGACGCACGCCCACTACTGGTCATTTTGATAACCGTTATCAAAGTGCCCAGAGCTCCATTTATCGTATGTTGTAGAAAGACCGTTAAGTCACCAAACTATCCATCTCACAAATATATATATTGTGACGAAGCATCTTTTGTCAATTTCCCCTACACACGTAGCCCCCTAAAATATTAATTCTCCGCTACCGTTGGTGCCCTCATTTCCCCAATCAGTCCCGACTATTCCTCATTTGCCCTTCCCGTCTGGAAGCAGCGACGAGACCACCCGAAAAGGATCACTATCCCAGGCCCACAAAACTCTATGTCCCCCCAACAAATAATATCCCACACGACACTCCTGAGAGTCAAACATCAAGTAACAGTCCATCATCACAGGTTCCTGCGACGCCCCACCCCGCGGACCACCTCGAACAGCGCAGTTGATTCGGATGCATATGGATCAAGAAGGGCGAGAAATACCGAGAATCAACGGGAATGGACGAAGGAAGCAAAAGGAAGATGAAGAAGAAGAGCAGCACTCACTCGTATCGCAGCTGCCCCAAACCCCACCACGCACGTAGTGTTCTGTGTGTCGTATCCCTAGTTTTGGACGAGGATTCAAGAGCCCATTCCCCAGTTTTGGAGAGAGACAAAAAGCCCAAGAGTCGTGAGGTGGACTGGAGGTTCCGGTTCGGACTGGTGGTCCCGATTAGCACTGGAACATCTGATTGTTGAGGATGCTTTAGGAGGAGAAAGGGAGACTGTTACCGAACTACCGGTTCCCCGAGTGTATCCACGTGGTCGTGAGTACGGGTTTAATTCGCCATTTTCGCATTTTCCCTAATATTTCCGACAAATTATCCCCCTAACAGTGAGCCCACACTATCCCTTTATTGCCCCCCCCCCCCCGCTGAGTTGAATTGGATTAATTATCAGGTGTATTTTTCTTTATTTGGAGTCCCTCGACACGACTAGCTTCTCCCGTTTGTTCTCCCCTATAGCATCGTGCCTATTATTGTAAATATTTATTATTGTAAATATTTTGTATAAAATTCATAGAAATATAGTCCCTTGTCCATTTTACATTGCTTCTATGATTGACTAAATTCCCCCTCATTTCCCATGGTGTATAATAAGATCTAATTAAATAATCATTGGCCACATCACAGGTAATTATTCTGGGCAATAATATTTTAATAGGATCTAAGAAAATCCCCGGTTGCAATATATATATATATATATATATATATATATATATATATATATAATGATAATAATAAAATGTAATAATTATAAAACTTGTGACATTGTCTGGTATTTCTAAAATATCAGGTAATGTGAAAAGGTGCATGTTGAGGCAACAAGTGACAATCGACGTGAATTCTTTAATCTCTCGAATATTCAAAATATATTTATTCCGGTTATGGCAGTAAACTAGAGATGATCATCAATAATAAGGGAAATAATTTGTAAACAATACTTTCCTGAGAACTCTTCACCCTTCAGAAGCACGTAGCGCCATGTATACTGTTACGTATTTGTTGTCCGGTGTGCTCGTGCTTGATCTAATTTAATTATTGTATTTTGGGAAGAGAATATTAGTCAGTAAAGAGAAAAATTATCGAGTTACTGAATAGTCGGTATTCTAAAAAATGGAACTTAACTAATTTTATAAACAGAAAAACAAATGATTTTGCTACAGGCGGGTCGTCACCCAAAATAATAATAATAGAAATGAAATAAGGCTATCGTTCAATAAGAAAAATGAAAGAATGAAGAATAATCAGAAATAATAATAATAATAATAATAGAAAGTGCCGGAAACTCCGATCCACCCTACTTGATACAATCCAAAAGAATTAGGAAGCTAAGATATCTCGTGAATTGCTATACGGAGAAACACTGAAGAGGCCCATTTGCCAGAAATTAAAAAATGAACAACCCCAGTTGTTCATTTATTAATTTCTCAATGGTAAATGTACGGTGAGCAGGTCCGTAGACACTGCCTGGTCTTCCACAACGCCTCTTACCCGCGATACTAGCCGAAATATGTCCCTCTCTCCGTTGCGCCTCCAGAGAACAGCGATACAAAGGAAACGAAAATAAAATAATAAACCCAATTCATAATTTCGCAGAATATACCATAGTTAATGCCAATCGATTTGTCCCAATATTATCTGTAGCTAAAACGCTCGTAACGCTTACAATAAATTGTTGTATTTCACTCCGGCAAGCACCGATTTGACGGCCACGCGGCTTTATCAAGATGGGGTCGATAGTCTCCGTTCGCTATGAGATTCCTCCGGCCAAAGAAGCTGACAGGAGCTTCAATGAGCCCCCAAACTGCTCTCGTAGTCACCAATAACCCTGTCGCACCAATGACAATATTTAATATGTGCACACTCACTCTAATCACTCGTCCTGACCCAATATTAAGCCTCGACTCGGTCCCTCGCCACGTGTTCGCCCGATGAACAGAATAGTGGTCTGGATATTCGCCTGGATATTCGCCGCCTGTGTTTCGCCTCGAAATTATCCTCAGTCGCCTCAAAAACCTCCGGATAAGGTCCGGAAAACCTTGTTCCCACCTCCATTGTCGAGTTTGCATGAAAAGTTTCTTAATTGGATCCACACAATAGATACGAAAATTAGAGAAACTTAAAGCGATGCAAAGCGATTGACAGTGGAGATTTGAAGTGAAGATGAAGGCGGAAATCGTCATTGCCCTCTCAATCTCATGCTGTCTCACTCCATTTCTCTCGGGCCTTGATATTGGCCCTGAATTCCAATATTAGCCAATTTGCAAGCCTCATTTACATATTTCACCGGCCACGTGCTGTCCGATGGTGCCGTCTATTCTCTCAGGTGCATATCTCTGGTGGTCAGCTGATCTGTGACGTCTTTCCGAGGCATAGGATTACCTTGCAGATGGGCCTCAGCGATTACCCATACTATTGACGGTTGGCGTGTGTGTGGTTGTGTGAGCGCCTGAACGGGCTGCGCCCTCGTGGGATATTCTTTTGGGTCCGCAGGAGATCTGAATTACCCCGCGGGATAATGTTATGACAGGTGTGAAGGGTGTGACTATGTGAGATTTTCGGTTGGTGTTCTTCCTGGCTCCAGGACGTTGTGACTTGTTCCCCAGGCTTGTAGATGGTCCTCTCCGGTGGCTGATGATCTCGTAGTGTCTCTAGTGAGTCAGGACTCCTCGTGGACACTCATCGGCTCACTCATTCCTTATAACCTAGACCTAACCTCAAAATGTACGATTGGTGCATGTGAACGTTCTCCGGATTATTTTATTTGTTTCCCACACGCCCAATCGAGGACTAAAACGAAGCCTCTTCGTCACAAACTGAAAAATCAATTATTTGAAATGATAATAATTCTTTCCGCTAAAATATAATGATAGTTTTTAATATTATGATCCTTTAATGTAGAGAATTTAATATTCTCGTGATATTTTCTTCTAAATCAATAAAACTCAAACTCTGGTATATATCGAAAATTCAAAAAATAATTAAGATAACTGATTTCCATTGTTTTAGTGTTACCGGAAAATTCTCCAGCTGGACCCAGCTAACATCCAAGGTCTTCACAATCTCTGCGTAGTGATGGTGGAACGTAGCCAGTTGCATCTGGCAGCACAATGTCTCGAGAAAGCCGCAGTACTTGCTCCAGATCAAGATTACATTAAGAAACATCTTTCGATCGTTCAATCCCGGATAAATCATCTGCCCCCAGAGCAACGTGAGAGCACTGAAATATTTGATGATTCATTTCTCCACACTCCAATTGAGGAGGATAGTCTCGACAGTACTGATCCAGCTAATGGACAATTTCTGGGAAAAACTGATGTTATGCAAAATCACATCGGTAGTATCCGTAACAATCAACTCAGTCGGAATAATTATTATCATATTAAGCGTTTCCAGAATCAGAAAACATCGCGATCAATACCTGAAATCAAAAGGCAATTCTCAAGACCCTCTGAAATACCCAATATACCTGAATCTGCTGGAGTCCTTGAAAATGTTATGAATAGGGATACGAGTGAATTGGAATTTGCTCGTCATCGTGGAGTGAAAGTGGTTAAACCAAATTGAAGAATATGCGTAAGGCATGAAGTAATTAATTGTAACAAGTCGAATTATATATTTTTAATGTACACTTACCTTGGAAGTAAGGGATTTTGGAGAAAAGCATTAGAAAATCTTTTTTGTCTGAAATCATGGTTAGTGCGTCAGATGCAGTATTTCTGGCAAGTCATCGAAAAACAGATGGATTTTGAAGGGATGTCATAACATAGTTTTTTCATCGGACATTTATTCAGCTAAAAAAGAGATCTCTTGATATTTTTCTCAAACCACTCACTTTCGAGATAAAGATGGAGAACAGTCCCCGTAACTACTAGTAAAGTTATTCTGGAAACTTTTTGTGGATCTCATTTTGTTGCTCTGAAGTACCGTAATTTCGAAATTACCTTGAAAATATGATAATGAAGTGAATTTGACTCATCTCGTGTCACCATATTGATTTGTAAAATTTGGCCATTTTGTTCTTCACTTTACTGTACAAATGATGAGAATAAGACAGAGAATAAAATGGTATATTATGTCATCAGGCGATAAAAGTATTATCTGGCGAATGTGATTATAATATAAAGCCATATTCGGCTTTATATTATAATCACATTCGCCAGATAATACTTTTATCGGCGTGGGACATACGATATTTTATGTCATTAGGCCCGATAAACCGCGATTCTAACCTCGCTTCGCTCGGTTAAATGAAGAAAGTCACAAAATGAAAAGTACCGAACAGATAATCCTGTAACTGTTTGTGAATAATATCGAATTGAACGTTGAATCTGCAGAAAACCTATTGTAAATTGAAATAAATGTGTAAAGAGTGTGTTTAACAAGAGAACAGGATTAGAGTGTTAATAACGTCACTAGCGAACGGGCGCGAAGCTGTGTAGATGATATTATATTATATTAATTTATTTTATTGTTTTCTTTCCAATATTTCCTTGCGGTTAGATTAAATTAAATTTATTGGATTCTATTCCCATTGTAGTATACAAATTGTGGGAACAGTTTTTCTCATTTTCAAATGAAGAGATATTTATATTAAATAATCAGGAGAGTATTGATACTTTTTTGGGATGATGATCTATATAATTTTACAATTACATCATTGTTCAAAAATTTTTTTATGTACTACATTTTTCATATAACTATTTCCGTCTTCTTCATTTTTTATTTTACCTCCTTCATTCATGCATATTTTCAATTTTTCACTTGCCCTCACTTTTGACAATGCCACGTATAATTGACCATGACTGAATATGTTACTTTTAAGATAAACACCTACCTTTTCTAATGTCTGTCCGTTGACATTTTACAATGTACCTATAAAATTTTGGAATTGATAATTTTTTTGATTGATATTTTTTTTCCTTAAATCAAGACGTACCAATTTTCTTTTAAATGTCGGATATGAAAATTTTTCGTCTCTTTAATCTCACTTCAATCGAACGGAATAAGAAAAATGCAAAGTAAGATGATTAGCAAGAAAATAAAAATATGAATTGTGCAATGTCTCCGAAAAATTTACTAATTGAGTTTTTTTCCTTCAATAATGTAGCAAGATTGATATTTTTCATTTTCATGATTTGATTTCATTGAGAGGAAATGAGAAAAATGCAGGGAGAGATGGTCAGCAAGAAAATGAAAAAAACGATTTTTTAATTTTCTGAAAAATTTCACTGATTTTTTTTTAGAAGACGAAAAAATATCAATGTGTTCGCTTTCTATGATCTAATTTCAATGGAAGAAAGTGAAAAAAAGCAGAGATACGTGATCAGCAAGAAAATGAAAATTTCGATTTTTCAATGTCTCCGGAAAGTTTTAAAATTGATATATTTTTTCAAATAATGGAAGAATACCTATCAATTCAATTTCTATCCTCACATTTTAATAGAATACATTAACAAAAAAGCAAAGAATAAAAATTGGAGATGAAAAATTTTATCGAATTAATATAATGTAATAATAATAATGGTGTGAATATAAATGGGATAAAAGTATTGTTTTATATGATGTATGAATAGCGAAGTTTTATAAAATATAAAGATATGTGTGTTTTTGATTAATCGTTATTTTGATAATTTTGTGATCGAATTTTCGGAAGATTCCGCCACTAGTACGTGAGTTCACCGCTTGAAGGGAAATCAACGGATTTTTATTGAATAGTTCTGTAACGAGTGAGTAGTTAGCAAGTAAGTATGAATAATGAGAGAGTCGTGATTCGCCTTTCCAGAATTGACAACCTTACCGTAGGGAAATGCAACACCCCTATTTCTAGCTCCCGCGCTTGGACTACGGCCTTCACGAACATGAGAACATCAAGATTCGTGTGGATACGAAGTGCAATTTGCTTAGAGAGTACGGAAAAAATATCTGAGAGTGTCGACCCACATTACAAACGGGTAAAATTGGAAAAATTCCATTTTAAGAAAAAATAATTTATTCATTTATTAAATTACTAGTTAGTTTACAGTTTATTATCCAATTTAGGGGAGGTAAAGTTTCTCTTACGGTATAGAGTAAATTTACGGTAATTCCTGTTTACTGTCTCGATATATATAATTTTTATCCACGCGAATTCTAAGTGGGGCGAGTATCAAGCGTGGTTCATGGCCGAGATACTGAGCCTTCCGGTGAAATCTCGTTCATCCCGTTGAGTATACCACTGATAATCGCGGTTGAGAGAGGTTGAGAGAGGTTGAGAGAGGTTGAGAAAGGTTGAGAGAGGTTGAGAGAGATTGAGAGAAGTTGAGAGATGTTCAGAGAGGTTCAGAGAGGTTCAGAGAAGTTGAGAGAGGTTTAGAGAGGTTCAGAGAGGTTCAGAGAGTTTCAGAGAGGTACAAAGAGGTTTAGAGGGAGGGAGGGAGGGAGAGAGAGAGAGAGAGAGACAGAGAGA